TTCAAGAGCTCCCTCATGCGCACATGCCAAGGGCCATCCAATGCCAATTTGTGTGATGGTGCATAATAAATTAACATTCAATTAACATCCACCCCACCCTCAAATTACAACAAAAAGTCCGAGTCCAGCTCAAAAGTGGAACATGAAAGGTCCGAATTCCGCTGCAAGAAATATACCTGCGAACCATTTAAGTCGCTTTTTTTATTTATTAAGCGCTCTGCCACCTCTGTTTAGATGTAGGTTAATCCGAGCTTAACTAGTCCTGTGCCCACTGGCAGACCACTCCTTTGGCGCAGAAAAATGGCACCCTTTGGCTTTTAAGTCGCATCATTTGCAGTCCCCTTATCGGCTTTTCTCATTCTCCCCTTCAAATATGATCTAATTAGGTAGAGAACTGCGCTTCCTACGCTAATCTGATTAAGCCTTCATATCAGGACAGAATGATTGGCATGCACGGAATGAAAAATATTGACTTCAAAGCCGCTCTTATTGGGGTGCGGTGCGTATGGCACAAAAAGGGTGCCGTGCAGCTCCCACTGCAGTGGGCCGTGTCATTTGTGGGTTATCCAATGCAAATGCAAAAACTAGTCATTTCGCTGACATTCTCATGTCCAGCAATTCGAACACATCTGTGGGCTTGTTGTTGGTAAATGACTAGAAAGTTTTTGCTGCAATTTTCGTATATATTTTTGGCCTAAACAAAAAAATGTTTACGTACAATATTTTGCACCTACTCGTATTGATTACGGAAAAGAGTTCTTGTTATCATATATTGTTGTTAAAATAATTGCAGCATCGAACAAATAAAGCTTCATTGAAAATATTTGTCAGCTTTAAGCATGGCAAACACCTTGAGGTACATTTTAAATGGTTGATGATTAATAAAATTGCAGAGTCTGCCAAAGTTTAGCTGGCAGAATTCTAATTACATTCGGCTTTAGGACTGCTTCGTCAGCACACCCGATTTAATATACAGATATTTTTTAGTTATTACCATAATTCACGAGGCCTCCTGCTCTGCCCATCGGATTACGGGTTTTTCTGCAAGCAGTTTTTGGTTGAAACTGCTTTGATTTGCTGCTGTGCCAGTTCTGCCCAAAGTATTTCTTCTAAGAAGCAACAGCTTCTGTTTCTGCTTCGAGCTAAAAGATGAGACTTAAATGGGAAGAGGGATCTAAGTGAAACGCTTTTGTTCCCAGCTCCAAAGACAGTTGTCGCCCAGGTTTATTCGGTTTCTCCCAACTCCCGTTGCGTCTGTGTGTTCTCCTTGCCAGTGACCACACAGTGACGGGACTAATGCGAGCTGCAGCTTGCTTAATGCGAACTGCTTGCTGTGCGTTCTCCTTTTCTTCCCATGCGTTTATGCCAGCAACCTACGCCCTGCTTTACCAGCTTTAGCTCGTATGTACACAGCATTTAGCTATGAAATTCAACAAAATAAATCACAAAATTATGTTTGTAATTTGTTGTTTGTTTGTAGTTTTTGGATTGGGTTTCCCTCTATCGGTGGTCCCCTTTCATTGTATTCATCGCATTTTATACACTTTTGTTGACTTTTATTGTCTCTTTGCTGCCCCTCACATCGTTTCACTTTCACTTTTGCCATCTCATGTGTTTTAAAATTGTACAAATCTAATTTCAGGCGTCTTTCTATTCGTGTCTTTCCCCTACTGTGTTTTTGTTGTACTTTTTCGTTTCCTACTTTACATTTCTTGGTGTTTTTGATGTATTTTCTGTGTTTGATGTATTCGATGTTGTTGTTTGGTGGCAAGTCCAAATGCCACTTCAGTTGCCCCTCCCTCCCCATTTGCCTTTTGCCCTTGCCCGAAAAAGTCTGGCCCTAGCCCCTGGCCCGTCTTGGATTTGGGTCAATGTGGCATAAATTATCAGCATCGCCAGCGCCGTCGGCCGTCGGCCACCGGGCGACCATGTCGACACCTCTGCAAACAATCACGGAGCCCGCAAAGGAAACGGTAACGGAAACGGAAAGTGAAGTGATCCCAGAGGAAAGAGAACCGAAAGGAACAGCCAGCAGCCGAAGCAACTATCCATCAAAATGTGGTGTCTCTAGTGTTGTGTGCACACAAAAGTGTTTTCAAGCGTTCAAGTGTGAAATTCAACAAAAAATTGAAGCGGAGGTGTAAACAAAAAAGAAAGACATTAAAAAACGGAAGGCATCGCATCGAGTGTTGATTGACAAAACTTTACACACACACATACACTCACTCACTCACACACACACACATTTGTATGTAAATGTATTCCTCTGTGTCCTGTGACGCCTTCAGAGAATGTCCTCCATATGCTTAGTTGGGTTTGCATTTGGTTTGCTAATTAAAAAGGTCCACAAATGATATGATGTTAGGAGCTGCAACTACAACTGGATGTGGAGTGGGATGCGCTAACACACATGTGTGTGTGTGTGTGTGTGTGTGTGTGTGTGTATATTTCATGACATTTTTCATCCTCTTGACTAGGAGCAGGAGCAGGAGCAGGTGAAGCGACTGCCCTTGTTTTGCGGCACCACTCTTCCGAGGGCACTAAACGCTTAAAACGCTTAGCAAAAGCCAGACAAACAGGTCCCACCACCCCACCCCGCTTACCAACTGTCAGCTGCTAGCCATCTCTACACACTCCCTCGCTGCCCCCAACCAAGCTCCTCTTCAGTGTGTCCGCAACTTTTTAATAAGCTTGAAGCTAGCGGAGAGTCTGGGGCAGCAGGTCTCCACTTGACATGGTTGAAACTAGGGGCTGACGAACGATGAAAGAATACACACAATCACACACACACACACACACACACACACATAGAAAGGGAAAGAGAGAGAGAGAGAGGGAGAGAGACTTCCGCTAGGGTCCCACTAATTGTTAGAGGGGGGCGCGGATGTTGGGGCCCGGTGCCTGTGGCCATAGAAACTGTTCCGACCCGTTGGCAAATTGGCAAATTAGCACTGAGGGCTATCACTATGGAAATTAAAGTGTTGTGCCACATCGCAAAGATGATCGGCTGATACTCACAGCTCACCCAAGCCAGTAGGCAAGAACCCTAACAAGCCTTTTGGCCATATTGGACGCGCGGTTGCCCCAGCAAGTCGGGTCAACAGCCACAGCCTGACCTTTGTGGGGCGACACGGGGGCTTCCGGAATTCAGTGGAACTGTCGCCTGTCTAGACTACACTCGGCCCCGCCCACTCGGCTAACCACACATCCAAAACATATGCAGAGATATACGTATGTAAAAGTCGGAAGTTAGAGGGCAATCGCAAATCCCTCCTCCATGGGTGATGTGGGGTAAGCGGATGTAAGCCGAAAGCCAAAGCTGATTTGGTGTCATTACTCTTGCGACATTTTGCACAGTTTTCCCACTAACTCATTTACTTTTTTCTATCCTTCCATCCGCTGTGAATTCATTAACCCGTTTCCCCAGAAATCTCTTGCTATATTTTTCCTCGCTCCACATGCTGCATTTTTTACACAGTCTAATTACTAAGTAATCCCCCCCGCTGCATTTCTAACTAGCTAAAACATCCGCCTTATTCCTGTTTTTATTGTTCAAGTTTTTGCTTTGGCATTCCTTTCGCTACCTCATTTAATTATCATATAAACATGTTACTCATCTCACATCCTTTGCACCTCATTTTACAATTGCCGCACTTCACTTTTCTCTCGGAAACAAATTGTGCATTAGATCCCGCTTTTTCTTACTCTTTCGCTCTCTCCTTATATCTGTCTATCTACTCTCTTTTATATCTTTATCACTTAGATAGATAAGTTGTCGAATTACTGATAACTTTATTGGCTGCACTTCAATTCAAATCAATTTAATTTGAATTAATAATTTGGATGAATTGTATCCATTTACATCCTAACAGTTTCTCCTCTGCATGTCCCTCAATACTGACAACAATTTCCCTTTCGTCTTTGATTTCAATGGATATTATTGCTGGAATAGCCAGCGACTCGCTTCGTTAAAGGGTGCCAAATTAATTTTCTAATCTGGCATGGCGGGCATGCCACTAAGGGTTGTGTGGGGCGTTTTAATTCTGTTGGAATTTTCGCCCATTTGCATAGCGAATATATATAGAGGTATAGAGGTACATATGTGCCAGTATTGTATGATGTTTGCCCTAGTGCGGCACTTCAACAGGACGAACGTCCACATACCCAGCACCTCCAGCCCCTGACTTTAGGTTTCAAAGTGTTTCAAAGACCCATCATTGCATTTTTGCAATCAATTGGACTGGTTTCAGTGTTATTGTAATACATATTGTATGCCCATGGACATATGTACATTCCGTTAAACATAATAATTATTTAATTTGATACTCTGACAGCTTTTTAACGCTTACTATATTAGATTGTACATATATATTGTACATACATACATATATTAACATAAATGCATACATATTTGCATACCATCTAGAGCTGAGAGTTTCTGTATCTTGAGCTGCCAAGTACAAGCTGTCGGACACTGCTTACACTGCTTGAGGTTCGAGCTGAGGTTGCTTGAGGTTCGAGCTGCAAGTCGTAGGAGTTTGAGCGCTGCTTACACTGCTTGAGGTTCGAGCTGCAAGTCGTAGGTTCGAGCTGCTTTTGCCAGTCCGAGTAGATTGTAGATACTCGTAATAAAAGCTAACATTTACAATATATCCGTTCTTTTCTTTTCACACACACATACACATACACAGCTACACCTTACTAACTTTCTTTCTAACGTAGTCCGAATGCCCCCGAATTCCCTTCGCTATCCACCCTCTAATGACTTTGATGCGTGTTCTCTTCTTGCATGTCACTCGTACTTGGCTTGGGTCTGTGTCTGTGTCTGTGGCAGACAGTCGCCGTGGGGTCACGTGCCTCTTCTAAAACATATTTCCCGCAAACAAAAATAACAAATATAGGAGCAAAAAGAAGTCGAGAAGAAGGCAGAAAGAGAAGAGCAGTGAATAAGAAACAAACAGAAAGAAAGCGAACAAGAAATCGAACACGTGCACGAAAACGAAAACGAAGGCGTAAAAAAAAGGGCTGATCGCCATGGATGCCCAGCTGGAAGCGCGTGTCCAGTTTCCGGCCTCGTTTCCGGATACATTCAAGAACGTCTTCGACTTGATGAACGAAGATGAGGATCATGTGGGGCTCTTTGCCCACATGCTAGAGGATAAGGTAGCTCAAGTTCACACAGACGCCACTGACCACTGACCACTGACCGGTCCTTCGACGGCCCCGGCCCCGGCCCCTGCCCCTGCTGGCTAACTCCTTCCCTGCCCTCGAAGACTCAGTGCACGATTAAAGCGAATCAGTTACTCACATGGCGACCCGGCCTCCGGTCTGCCCCTCCAACTTTCGTCTTTCTTTCAGATAATACCCATACCGCGTCCCAAGCCCAGAAAGATGCACCCGCAGCGTGGACGCTGCGGTGGCAGCCAACGGAGTAGCAGCGTCACTGGCCGCGATGAAATCTACGAGCGCAGCTACCGCCACCACCTGCATCAGCAGCAGCAGCAGCAGCAGCAGCAGCAGGATGAACAGTATCAGCATCGGCAGCATCTGCAGCAATTGCAGAATTTGGAGCGCGGTCGCCGCGCCAGCATCAGCAGCGGTGTAGAATTCTATTGCGAATCGAGCGATATTACAGAACCTTCGGTTAACTACCCCTACATGTCCGCCGGACGCGTCCACATGTTCCGCTCGGCCCACGAGAGGAACGCTCAGCACCATAATAATCCAGGCCAGAGTCAACTCGGCCACGGACCCATGGTGCTGAACCCAAACGTAAGTTCCAGCTCAAGTGGTTCGCTCAGGCAACTGTCGTCTGCTACTGGCGGCGGCGGCGGCGGCGGCGGCGGCGGCGGCGGTGACCAGTGGATAATTCAAGCACAGCCGGGTGCTCCGCTTCAGGTAAATTTCATGGTTTATTTATCACCTGTATGGGGCCCTTCTCCTGCCAACCACAACTGCCCAGCACTGTCGTTCCGATCTTCAATCGATTCACATCGTAATTCACAGTTAGAAGTCGGCGGTGCCTCCACTGGTGGCTACCCACCGGCACTCGGAGGACCCGCAAGCGGATATTGCCCCGAACTCCCGGTGCTCGTGCCGCCACGGCCGGCAGCTAGCCGTCGCCAGCTGCCAGTGAATGGAACCAGCGATGTGGCCGAAGCCGTCGAAGCCTTGGAGCGAATGGAGCTGCACGAAGAGCAGGATAAAAGAAGCTGCTTTGAGCGGTCCTTTGATTGCGGTAAGTCTTTGATCAAAATGCATAAGGGATGAAGCCTTGTCAGCTTGGGGTTTGCTTTCATTTAGTGTTGCACAACGAACCAGGGCTTTTCCAGTGTTGCAAGTGTAGCAAAGTGTTCACAGTCAATGAAAGTAGAAAATAAACTGCACACACATACCATTTCATACCCCCATTAAGTTAGCCAAGTAAGCGACAAATAATCATACACACTGTATGGTATCCTCCCAGACCCTTGTTCCCCTGCACAAACAGCATTCTGACACGCTCCTCTATTGTGTGCCTGAACAATACTCGCATAAGCCGCACACCCACAGAGATGCACATCAGCCAGCCAGCCAGCCAGCCAGCCAGCCGTCCAGGCAGCTGAGCGGTTCCACTTGGGGGCTCCTGAGTAGGGCTCTAGTCACCAGTAAGTGACCGCACACCTCCTCGTCGCACCGCCACGGGGTGTGTGCGTGTGTGTGGGTGTGAGTCCCAATCACTGCCATTGGTGGTGGTCAGCTGGCAGACTGCGCGTAATTAAGACTCCGTCGTATCCTTGTTCATTCACACTGTCTCCCCTGGGCTACTCCGTATTGTGTCTATGTGTAGATGTGTGTACAGTGCACACATCAGACGCCTCCACTGACACGACCGATGGTATCATGTTCCAATTACAACTAAGCTACAGAGTTGAGCAACAAGTGCCAACGTATATTTGAATGCTGTCAGATGCATGATTGAGCCAAGAACCGAAAACAAACCAAACAAAACAAAATGGCAAACATCACAAGAGACATTTTGAAAAGCTGTCGGTGCATTAACAAAGCGGATTCTCTCTAGGTTTTCCACTTAACTTCATTTTTCGAACTGTTGAAAGTGAAGGACTCCCATGGCTGAAATGGTTTGATTAATGCGAATATCCAGCTGTCCAGAGACTGGATGAAACATACCATTAATCACGAGAGATCAGATCAGATTAAAGTCATTCAGTTTCATTATTAGTTTCTTGGAACAAAGTTTTATATTCTGCTCAATGGAAACGAAACTGAAAACTCTGACGTAGGATTTGGATCATCTAAGTTGAGGTGCATTTCATAATATCATCTGCAGTCCCATGCCAAAATTTGTTTACTTTGCATGCACATATCAAAGGGAGAATAACTTGGGCCTCTCTGTTGTAAGATTTAAATGTAGAAGCAAGAACACACACGCCCACTGGCACGCAGGTGAAAAGCTCTAAAGGATACCCTTGCGGAGTTTCAATATTTGAATCTATTTTTAACAATTGTTTGGCACATTGCGAAGACACAGCTCCGATTGCTTAGAGTACAGTTCATGCGATGTCCAATCGCACCAATCGATCTGCAAGGGTGTTAGCTTCTTAATTTGGTTATTTCCTAATTTGACTCTGCATTGGGGGAGAAACATATTTGGCGAGAGACGCACACAGAGAGACACTGAGTTTGCTGGATGGCCCAGGTGGGATGCACCTGCACCTGTCACCTGCCAATGTACGCCAACCTGAACTAAGACGCTTACGTCTCTGTACGGGTCCCTCTGGTAAAGACTACGCTAGGCAGTATGCCCAATCTTAGTTGCGGTTTGTCTCTGTCCGCCAGCCTTCTCATGGATATCTATGTGTGTCTGCGCAGATGTCGAGTGCGCGAACGCAAGTGAGTGCGCAAGTGCGACAGACAGCTATGACGTGCCAACACCACCGTCGCCCCCTAAAAATTCGAACAACAGCGACCGTATGTTCATAGTTATTAACGCTTCAGCGCCCTGAACGTGAATATTTCATGCACTATGCTCTATATGCCCCCAGAGAATTCCGCAATGTTTGAGATGGAGCGTGCCGTGGGGGCGCCCCATAGGCTGTTGCCCACACCTCCGGTCCACAGCAGACACGACAGCGTCTATCGGAATCCGCCCGTCGGACAGGCGTGGGTCCAGCAGGAGGAGAATTTGGAGCACAACGAGAACCAAATCCGATATGCGCCACCGATGAACCTGGCACCTGTGGGGCCCGTCCAGGAGTGGGACGAGCACGTGAGGAATTTCGCTGATCGGCCACCGCAGTACGAAGAGTACATATTTGCTGCCCAACATCCAGGCGGCAGTCGGGTAAGTGGGGTAACTGCCAGTCGATTCGAGGGCAGGCCAACCAAATGGACAGCAAATTGGACGAAAGAGCTAGACTGTGAGTACAGTGTGGTCCGGAGTTAGAAGGCAAAGGTCGAAGGTATTCGATAACACACTCGCAACACGATTCTCATGATTCACTCACTCACAATAAACACAATTTTGCGACCGACTCTCTCCGACTGTCAATGATTGTACTCATTTTTCCACCCATATACCACCCATACGCACTGCAGTCAAAACTTTGTCTCTGTCATACTCTTGTGCCCACAGCAAGACGTTCGTCGAGCCTCCGGCGCTGAGTCAAGCATCCATCACCCGACGCGGCTCTATGGCCAACAGGAGGTTCATCCACTGCGCTTGCACAGCGTCGAGCCAAGGTAACCTTGCTTTAAATGCTCTGATTTGGGGGGGAGACAACAGAATGCTACGGCTGGTGCCAGGGATTTGGCCCATGCCACTGATTAACTGCAGTTTACCATTGAAACGATCAGAGAGTATTACCTGGCCACGCTGATCGACTTTTTTTGCATTGCAGAGAGCACTTGGAAGCATCCAGAGTTTTGACCATACAACAAGCAATGCGCGGAGCTGTTTCGCCGCAATATGGGACCGTTGGTGCACACCCAGAGCCCGCATACAGCGACCCGAGATCCACCAGTCTCAGGTTCGTGGTAAATGAAATGTCCAACGGAGGGGAGGATAATTGTTCGGCAGCACCTGTATGCAACACACCGAAACGCGTACGTCAGGTGCACTTGGAGCGGGAGCCACCCGTTGGCGAGGCATCGCCGACGCGAGGACAACGGCACAGCACCGCTGGCACCTCGGCGATGTCCACACTCAGCAGCCGCTTGGCGCCAAGGCAGCGGAGGAGAACATCCAGCATGCCGGCCGAGTGCCGCAGGGTGAGTATGTAGGTAAGGATTGCACCAATTATCTGCGAACAACCAATACAAAACAAATCACACAAAATTATTCGATTCGAGCGCTGACAGTTGACCAGCAAGCAGTGCATTGAGTTTAAAAGTTGGTTAAAAAGAAGCTTCTTTAATGAAGCAGTTCAATTCCCTAAGTAAGTGTCATACGCGTATGAGAACAGTTTTGCATGGGTCAGCTAAAGCAGTTAAATGAAGCAGTCTCTACTGCTTGCTAATCTTAAGTGCACACATGCCTGAATCTTGACAACATTTACGCCTAATAAAGCATGGCCCGCTAGCAGCGCATAAGTTTTTGTGTCCCGCCACCGAAGAAGCACTTCGGGGCAACTTATTGGCAAACACTTCGAGGAGGTCTTTAATCCGTGTTCACGTTCCGTGCCATGTTCACGCCATGCCCATGCACACCATAAAACACATTCGTACAAATGAACACACATACATTTGTATATGTGGAGAGTCTTTTCGGCGCGGAACGTGTCCCACGCCAGTTTCGGCGAGAATTCCAGGTTTACACGCCGGGCAAAGTTCTTTCGGGTCGCCTGTGGGGGGGGCAGAGCTTTGCTTGTTTTCCCATGCAAAGGAGGCGTAAAAGTGTGAAAAGGATCTGCGACTGCCTTCGACAGTTTCCCTTTTCCGCCGCACACTTGACAATTCTTCTCCATTAAACGCTTCCCATTCGCAACGGCGTCCCGGGGCTCTGGGACGTGCCTGCCATTGATTCCGTTTGAAGGTTTCGCCTGACTCCGCTTTAATTGCCAGTTGCACGTTGCAACCAACCAACTTGCAAGTTGAAAGCTGCACGCCGCAACCAGACGACATGCACTTCAGCTACATACGTACAGACATACATATGTATGTACATCACATGATGCGCCGCAATGAAATCAATTTCGAGACTCTTGCTGTCGAATCCAAAAAGTTTTCCACATAGAAATGATGAAAAACTTTGCCTCCAAAGAGACACACACAGTGGAAGAGTGCGAGCGGGAAAGTGGCAGGGCATGGGTCAATGCTCCCGGCTGCTCCAGTTGCTCTACATTCCGCCGGCTGCGTTTTCCCATGTGGCAGGACTGCACGTTGCACAATTTGCACTCGAGTAATTTCACAAAACTAATTACATTAGCTGTAGCGCCTACGAAAGTGAAGGCAGGAGTTAAGGACAGGTAACCGAGAGGCAAGTTAATGCCATTAGAACAGCTAAATAGCAGGAGATTTTTGGCTCCTGACTTCCGCCGCTCTGTAGCCCAAACAATATTCCCGATAAGCTGGCAACTATTCCTGCGCCGTTCCTCAAATCAGCAGAGACTTGAGCAGGCAATGACCCAGCAGACGCTGGATAAGGGAACAGCCAACAAAGAGCAATGTATCTCATGTCCATTCATGCTGAATGGTGAAAAGTTGCGGCCAAACATGCTCCTGCCTCCACACATATGTATGTTTTTACACATATTTATAAATATCCTTGAATACATGTGTGTAATCCCTTGCTGCCAAGTCTTTTTCGCCTGTTTTTGGCTGCTTTTCTCTTACTATTAAGCACATTTACTGATGAGATGGCTGCTAATGGGTTTCCTTAAATGGCTCATGCATCGAGCAGCGAGCCCCTAGACTCCAGCCACAGCTTCAGCTTCAGCTTCAGCTTCTGCCTGGTTGCCATGTGAACGCTGGCAGGAATCCCCTGGAGGCTGATGTAGACACGAGCAGTGTCTAAAGCAGTGCAAAAACTGACCAAGAACATTCACAGGCCCAGCAAAATGTTTTTTTGTGTGCTATTTAGGGAGAGGTCTGGTTAAGTCTCTTTCTATAATACTCTAATTAGAAAATTCTTCCCAAAATATATAGAAACAGATTCCGCCAGAGTCAACAGCCAGCGTGAGGTCGTTTAATGGCAACACTTTTAGCCACAGATGGGCATCGTTTGTAGAACGTTCGAACAAATGATGACTTTTCTGTGATGAGAGTGTGTGATTTGTTGCTTTAAGTATTTGAATGTGTTAGTCACTTCTTCTGCCGTCTCTCTCGTCCCCTCCACCATATCTTCCATCACTGCCATCACTCCCATCGCTTCCATCTCTCTTGTCCTCTGCCTTTCCCAGCCACCACATGCGGAGATGCGTCAGGCGGTGAAACATGCAGAAGATCAGGGCGTGGAGTACTACCGCCTGCGCAGTTTTAGCATCACCTCGAATGGGGTGTGCAATTTGGGGGACTCCCTGCGGTAAGTGTCGAGTGTTTTCCAGAGTTTCGAGGTTGTCTAAGCTATCCTTGCCCTCTTTCCAAATAATTCGCAGAAGCCGCAGGTCACGCTCTAACAACTCAGTGACATCGGGGATTACCTCTTACAGCGGCAATCGATACAACAACAGGTGAGTACGATGGCAATCAGTGCACAGTGCATGTAAATCAAGCAGTAACCACTTCATTGCAAGCAGTTTAAAAAGCAGTAGGTGCGCGGCAAGTAGTGCGTGGGCAAGGGGTTCAATTCAATGGCAAACAATGAGAGAGCGCAATCAATTTTTTGCCAACGGCAATAAAACCTTCAATAATAAAACGAATTTTTACACACGGGGCGGGTGGAAATATTGGATATGACAATGGTCAGGTTTGCCGGGACGAGTGACAATTATTCCCAGAACATTGTCAAATAAGAGTCCCTGTTGTAACTCTTTTACCTGTTGTTTGTTGTGGGTTTTCCATATTTTAAATATATATATTTATTTTGTGGTATTTACTTATTATTTATTGCTGCGACTCTACCAAGCCAATCCTTTTTTTTCTGCCCGAATCCATAAAGAAACGCATCGGGAAATGTCATCGATGGGACAACATCCGGAGAGCCGCCCACCTTCAAGATCGCCATGCTCGGCAGTCCTTCGGTGGGGAAGTCAGCCCTATCGTTCCAATTCACAACGTCGGACTATATTTGCGCCTACGACCTAAGCCTGGGTAAGTGCAATACTTGCCACATAGAAGCGTCTGTCTGTCGCTTATGCCTCTGTGTCACATTAAATTATTGAAACCATTAAATACAATACGAGTTGAGTCCCTCGTCTATGCAGCCAGGAGCGTGGATGTGGGCACTTGTTCTCCGTTGTTAGAGCTTCTTAAAAAGCAATTCTAGTTTTAAATGGAAAATGTGAATATTCTTTCTGAGATTCTTGGCAGCGTATTCACTGGAATTTGTTGATTACAGATTACTTACTGCCTTATTGCCGCTGTAGTGGTGAGTTGTAAATGTTTTTCTGGGGAAGGTTGTTCCTGCAGGCACCACTTTAGCAGACTTACGGGGGTGGCATGATAGGCGATGAATAATTTCGGAAGTCAGAGCAGAAACCACTGCACCATGTACCTTGAAAAATCCACCGTTTTTCAACCACCGCATCTGGATCTCTTCAGTGTCGTCTGCTGATAAAAGGACAAACCAATAATAGAGCTTGGATGGCATTCTTGTGAAATGCACAAAGCCCTTGCTCGACAGCTGCTCCTATTGCCTGGCCGATGTTAAATAGCTTGGCTTGCATTTAATTAGAGCCGGAAATTGGGTCTGAAATTCGGCTGCCTTTGTGCAGAGGCTGTGGATATAATAATAATTGGACTTGCTGCATTCTGACAAAAGCCTTCTGTCGTCGCACGGCTCAAATTGCATTTGCATTTCAAAATTAATTAAATGCTGACTCCGCTTAAGCTCCGCAGTTCATTCGGAGTCCTGGCTGCTGCTAAAGTTAGCCAAAAAACTTAACGCTACTTCGCAGGCAACCGAAATAATTTGTGCTACATGTTGCACTTTATTGCTGCGCTGCGTTGCTGCGGGGACTATGGAAACGGCAGTGGACATCAAACGCACGCCACAAATCCGCCTCCAGTCCGGGCACTCCTGCTATCCTTTTCTGTCCCGTCCTCTCCTGTCTGCTCCCCGTCTGCTCTCTCCGGCTGATGATGATGATGATGTGTGTCCCGCGTGCAGCTGCATGTCCGGCATTCATGTCTCGCTCTCCACCCTTCTCCATTACCCCCCTCCATTCTCCTTTATTGTTATGTTTTTGCGAAGCCTTTGAACAGTATGAGCACCCCCGCGCCTGCTGCAGGGTGTGTGTGTGTGTGTGGAATTCGGTTGCATTTCCTGCCCACACAGAGACGACACAAATAATATGATTTCACATGTTAATTAACAAGGCAAACTTTGACATGCTCGGACGCAACGGTGTCACATTTCTACGGACAGTCTTTTAGCCGTAGTCGCATTAGCCGTATTGGCAGGAGTTGAAAATAGTTAGAGGACTTCTGGCTGCTGCTCAAACAATGACACAAATGAACAGCTCAAAGCTAAGACTTAAAGCAGTTGCATTTTGATTTAATTTTCTTTATTTATTCATCAAATTTCAGTGCGTTTCAGGAAGCGTTTTATTGTTTCTAAATATATTCCTCAGCTGTTTCCATACACAT